ATGTGATTTTGTTAAATTTCAACATATCAGGCACATAATATGTGGAATATATAATATAGGCTTATAAGCAATTCATAACTTTTATAACTGTTCCTGCTTAGAATAGTATTCACTTTCTATTTTCTGCCATTTGTGTTTAAGCTACTAGTTTAAAAGAGAGAAGTGGAAATACTGCATTCATGGTCAATATTTACATCTTAAAAATGTTTTTCACAACTTGTTTTGAAACTTTCATGTTTAGTAATGCACAATGTGTTCTTAATGAACAATAAAGATATTTTACTTGCTCAGAAAAATACTGTTACTTAATGAGTCCAAGTCAGTGATATCTATAATTGGAATTAATTGCTTCCTGTGAACAACAATGTACATTTGGAAGGTGTTTGGACACTGCTGCTGTTCCAAGTCCACTCACTCATGTTTATTGTGAAGTTTTTAAAGGTTCAGATGAAAGAAAATGCAAACTGAAGTAGTAATTGTTTACTATGCAAATAAAATGTCAATGAATTGGAATATTGCCAGTGAAGTGGAAGGTAGACATTTTGCGGGGCACTGATCTGAAGTGATAGAGAACTAATAATAGTTAATACTGCATAATATCTACTAAAAATATTTGAAAAGGGATCATTTGCTTTAGTATTAAACATAAAGTTTATGGTATTTCCTACTGAGAAAAGATGAGAAAAAGATGAAACAGGTATGTCAGAGTGCTTCAATTTTGTAGTTACAAGACTGGGATAGAGTTCATAAAAATCAAGAAGAGGGCCATGTGTGGGTTTGGTCCCTAGTTATGACATTACACAGAGAAGGCAATGGCAACCCACTCCAGGACTCTTGCCTGGAAAATCCCATGGACGGAGGAGTCTGGTAGGCTGCAGTCCATTGGGTTGCTAAGAGTCAGACACAACTGAGCAACTTCACCTTCACTTTTCACTTTCATGCATTGGAGAAGGAAATGGCAACCCACTCCAGTGTTCTTGCCTGGAAAAGTCCATGGACGGAGGAGCCTGGTGGGCTACAGTCCATGGGGTCGCTAAGAGTCAGACACGACTAAGCGACTTCACTTTTCACTTTATGACATTACAATCCACTTTCCCAGCCTCATGCTTTTGATAAAGCCATGTTCAAATAGATAGCAGAGCCATATATGTTTGAGACATCTCTAATTTGAGGGAAGGTTGGTAAGTTCTGATCATTCATTTGGTAGTGATAGCTACTATCTACTAGTTGACTAAAGATATGTTAGTTTCCCTAGGGAAAAAGAAAGAGGTATAATACAGTGGATACAATATGAGTGAACTGCTGAATAATTTTTGAAAGGCTACTTTGTGCTGACCACTCTAAGGGTTAGAGACAGAAAAGTCATATTTTATATGACTCCTGGCCTCATGAATTTCACAAACTGTTGTGAGTAGATACATATACCACTTAGTCAAATGCAAAAATATATTTATCCATTATCAAGTTTCCCAGATAGTTAAAAACAAAGTTTTTTTTGGAGTGTATGGTAGTAAAGTATTCTTACTACCATAAGGATAATAAAGAATGTTTTATTTACCCTTAATAACTTGCTTTCAAAATATGAATTACACTGTGCACTCACACTTTGAGTCGAGAACAAATATGCACATGATTATAGGAAAAAGAAATAAGAAATCATGGCTAGCATTTCATTTCCTAGAGACTTCTTGGAGCCTGGAGGATCCTGGGACTCTGAAAAAAAGAGAATGAGCAATTTTTCAAAAGCACATAAACAAACACTAAGGGAAAGAAAAAGAAAGATAGGTAAGAGTATAGAATTAACTGGTTGATCATAAGAAATAGATTCATATGTTGCCTTAAATACTAAATACATATGCTCTTTTGACTGAGCATATAGCTCTGAGTAGTTGATTTTTAATTAATACCAGTTTGCAAAGTTTTTCTCCCTGTCCGTGGGTTGTCTTTTCACTTTCTTGAAGCTATCCTCTGAAGCACAGAAGTTTTGGATTTTGGTGATTCCCAGTTTATCTTTATTTTCTTTTACTGCTTGTGCTTTTGGTGTCATATTTAAAAAGCCATTGCCTAATCCAAGGTCATGAAGATTTACATCTATGTTTTCTTCTAATGGTTTTATAGTTTTAGGGTTCGGTCTTTGATCCATTTTGAATTAATATTTGTATATGTGTGAAGTGTAGTTCAATTTCCATTCTTTTGCATATCCAGTGGATATCCAATTCTTCCAAAACCATTTGTTGGGAAGGCTGTTCTTTTCCCATTGTATTGTCTTGACACCTTTGTTGAAAATAAATTAGCTATAAATGTGAGGGTCTATTTCTGGATTCTGATTTTATTTCATGGATCTGTTTGTCTGTCTTTATGCTGATGTCATACTGCCTTGATTACCGTAGTTTTGTAGCAAGTCTTTTATGAGTCCTATAACTTGGTTCTTCCTTTTCAAGATTGTACTGGTTATTCAGGGTCCCTTGAATTTCTATATGAATATTAGGATTAGCTTGTCAATTTGTGCAAAGCAAATGGCTGACATTTTAATGGAAGGGAAGGAGACTGCTTTTACAAAGAGGAAAAGGAAGGTGGGAAGGCTTAAGTAAGCAGAGTCCATGACTTTTCATTGGCTAAGTCTTTTCCAGAAAAGAGTCTTTCTTCTTCCTGTTGGGCTCTGCTATTACTGGAGAGTCTGAAAGCTCCCTTGTCTGGCCTCCTGACTCTGAGGTTTCTGTTTATCAATATTTTACACTGTAAATCACCTCACACAAGCCCAAATCCTACAATAAAGCCCTCCTGCTTCCCACTTACTGAGACACTCCATGGTTCCCCGTAGAGTGTGATCTCATTGGTTGCAACAAGTACCAATAAAGTCAAATGTGTTCAACTACAGTGATGTTCCTGGGGGTCTTTGATTGGTGGGCATCTACCAGAGTTAAGCAACTTGCTCAGATCACTAAACTCAGAAGTGGCAAAGCCAGAGGTGAAACTCTGGGCTTTAAAATCAATGCCAGGCTCATAACAGCCACACCACCCTGCATCTTTAGGCACTTATTTTGGAACTTTCTCTGTTATATTGTGAAGGATTAACTTGGCCTAAATGGATGTGAGAGTTGGACCATAAAGAAGGCTAAGCATTGAAGGATTGATGCTTTCAAACTGTGGTGCTGGAGAAGACTTTTGAGAGTCCGTTGGACATCAAGGAAATCAAACAAGTCAAGCCTAAAAGAAATCAGCCCTGAACATTCATTGGAAAGACTGAGCTGAAGCTCCAGTAATTTGGCCACCTGCTTCGAAGAGCCGACTCCTTGGAAAAGACCCTGATGCTGGGAGAGATTGAAGGCAGGAGGAGAAGGAGGCAACAGAGGATGAGATGGTTGGATGGCATCACCAACTCTATGGACAGGAATTTGAGCAAACTCTGGGAAATGGTGAAGGACAGGGAAGCCTGGCATGCTACAGTCCATGGGGTCACAAAGAGTCAGATATGACTAAGTGACTGAACAGCAAAAGAAGGGTCTGGCCCCTGGAATGACCTGCCTGATGGGAGGCTTTGTTTGTCTGGGTGTTTCAACTGCTGGACATCCTTGAAGTGTGATTTGTGATGAGGCCTCTGGAACAGGCTAATATCAATTCCAACCTCCAGAGGAAGTGAGGCTAAAGGTCCCAGAGGGCTTGGACACTAAAGATCAGCCATGTGGTCAGTAAGTGATGGAGCCCCAGTAAACACTGGACACCAAAGCCTCAAGCCCCCTGGTTGGGAGTACTCTGGGCATATTGTTACACACTGTCCAGGAGGACGTAATGCTGTTTGTGTCTCCATGGAGAGGGGACAGTGGGAAGTTCCTGTTTAGCCCCTCGCAGTCTCTGACCTGTGATCTCTCTCTCTGGCTGGTTTCAATTTGTATCCTTTCACTATTAAAAAAAAAAAAAGAAAGAAAACAGTGTAGAGCTTTCCTGGGTTCTATGAGTGGTCTTAGCAAACTATCAAACCTGCGGGTGGTCCTGGGAACCCTCGAATTTGTAGCCAGCTGGTCTAAAGTGAGGGTGGCTCTGGGGATCCCTGAACGTGCCACTGGTGTCTAATGTGAGGGCAGTTTTGGGGGCGGGCTGCTCCCTGAGACTACATAGTGGGGTCAGCGCCTCTCCAAGTAGGGTCACAAGGCCTAGCAGTCTGGAGGAATGTGTCCCCAACCTTGCAGTCTGGCTGATTCAGGACCTATGCTCTGGAGAGTGAGGAGAGACACAAAGAAAGAAAAAATGTTGACATTCTACCACAAATTGGCACTTGCCAAGGGCATTTGTGGGCTTCCCAGGCGTTGCTAGTGGTAAAGAATCCACCTAAGGGATGTGGGTTCAATTCCTTGCTCAGGAAGATGCCCTGGAGGAGGGCACAGTAATCCACTCCAGTATTCACCTGGAGAATCCCAAGGACAAAGGACCCTGGCNGGAGGGCGTGGCAACCCCTCCAACATTCTTGCCTGGAGAATTCCCAAGGACAGAGGAGCCTGGCAGGCTACAGTCCATAGGGTCGCACAGAGTCAGACACAACGGAAAGGACTTAGCACGCATGCACGGAATATGCTGTATCTTCTTTATTTATTCATAATATTTTATCAATATGCTAATAATACTCCATTAGTTAAAGTTGAATAATAAATCATATCTTTCTATATTTGACCATTATTAGATGGACACTTAGGTTGGCTGTTGTGAATAGTGCTGCAATAAACACAGGAATGAAGTTATCACTTAAAGATCCAAATTTCAATTCTTTTGGGTGTATACCCAGAAGTGGGAATGTTGGACCGTATGATAGTTATAATATTTTGAGAAACATTGATTCTGTTTTTCATTCCTACTAATACTGTACAAGGATTCTAATTTCTCTATAATCTTTCCAACATTTGTTGTCATCTGTTTTTTTTTTTTTTTGATAACAGCCATCCTTACAGGTATGAGATGATATCTCATTGTGGGTTTATTTGCATTATCCTGATGATTAGTGATGTTGAACACTTTTTCATATGCCTACTGGACATTTGCATGTCTTGTTTTGAGAAATGTCTGTTCAAGTTCTTTGTTCATTTTTTAATTGGGTCATCTCTTTTGTTGTTGTAGACATTTGAATCTCTTACATATCTTGGATGTTATATGTATAATTTTATATATTTTCTCCCCTTCCAGAGATTTTTGCTTTTGTTGCCTGTGGTTTGGTCTTATATCTTTAAAATCATCACCAAGACCAATACCATCAAGGTTTTCCTCCATGTTTCTTCTAGGAGTTTCAGATTATACATTCAAATCTTTAATCTAAGTTGATTTATGTAGATGGTGTAAGTTAGGGGTTCAATTTTATTCTTTTGCATGTGGATATTCAGTTTTCCCCAAACTGCTTATTGAAGAGACTGCCCTTTCTACATTGTGTATTCCTGGTCTCTTTGTTGAAGATGACTTGTTTATATGCAAGCGTTTATCTCTAGGTTCTCTATCCTGCTCCATCGATCTACACGTTTACCTTTGTGCCAATACAATACTGTTTTAATTACTATAGCTTGATCATTTTAAAAAAATCTGTTCTTTTCTATCTTGCAGAGCATCAGAAGACACCTATACCATTGACAGAGTACACACTATTTATTTAGAATGCACACAATAGGAAAATAGATATACGTTATGAGGTCTTTTTTGCACGCTGACTCCTCAGTACCATCTTAGGAGTGGAGATGCTGGGTCACCAAGTACATGAATGTACGAGTTTACAAAATTTATCCATACTGGTTTTTCAAAGTTTCAGAGACCCTAATATTCAGTGCTGTCAAACTTTTTAAATTTTCCAACTGAATTGATATACACTGTCAAAACCACATATAACTTTGGGGAGAGATGACATTGTCATTTATCTGACCTTAGGTAATATATAATCCTTCTCAGCTATGACTCAGCTTTCTGGAACATACTTTGCACATGGGGATGGTGAAGAGCACCAATGAGGGAAACATAACAGGTTTTATCCTGTTAGGGTTTTCTGATTATCCTCAGTTACAGACGGCTCTCTTTGTGGTCATCTTGATCTTATATTTACTAACCATTTTGGGGAACACCACCATCATTCTGATATCTCATCTGGAACCCAAACTTCAGACACCAATGTATTTTTTCCTTTCTCATCTCTCTTTCCTGGACCTCTGCTTTACTAGCAGTGTTATTCCTCAGCTCCTGGTAAACTTGCAGGATCCCATGAAAACCATTACCTATGGTGGCTGCATGGTTCAGCTCTACGTCTCTCTTGCTCTTGGATCTACTGAGTGTGTCCTTCTGGCTGTGATGTCCTATGATCGCTATGTGGCCATCTGCCGTCCCCTCCACTATGCTCTCCTGATGCATCCTCATCTCTGCATGGCCCTGACATCTTTAGCGTGGCTTAGTGGGGTGGCCACCGCCCTGGTACAGTCCACTCTCACCCTGCAGCTACCTTTATGTGGGCATCACCAAGTGGATCATTTTATCTGCGAAGTCCCTGTACTTATCAAGTTGGCTTGTGTGGACACCACCTTCAATGAGGCTGAGCTCTTTGTGGCTAGTATCCTCTTCCTTGTTGTGCCTATCTCCTTCATCCTCGTCTCCTATGGTTACATTACCCAAGCAGTTTTGAAGATCAAATCAGCTAGTGGGAGAAAGAAAGTTTTGGGGACCTGTTCCTCCCATGTGACAGTTGTCATCATGTTCTACGGAGCCATCATGTTCATGTACCTGCAGTCAGCCAAAAGTACATACAAAGATCAGGGAAAATTCGTCTCTCTCTTCTACACAGTGGTGACGCCCATGCTTAATCCTCTTATTTATACTCTGAGGAACAAAGAGGTCAAGGAAGCACTAAGAAAAGTTCTAGGGAAGATTCTGGTAATAAAGTTTACATGATTGTCAAAAAATTGTTTAAAGCACTACTATGATAAATACTGAATTTTTGTGGCTAAAGAAAATCACATAATGTTTTAAAACTATTTTTTCCCATTTCCTTTGATTAATTTCTTCTAAAACATTCTGTAATATACTATGGAATGTATGTGTCTAGTCCCAACCTTACAATTACACAGTAGTAACATAAATCCTTTGGCTCATGTCTTTCCCCCAAAATATATTATATATGCAGCATTTGAGGTTTAATTAGATATTTTATAAGAAATATGTTTCTTGAAAGTATTCAAGAAATATTTTAAATTAGCCATTTAAAAATTTTTGAATAATATATTCAATCTCTTACCCTTCATGTTTCTCTAGATAGATGTATGGCTTACTTTTTTGCAAGGCTGTATCTAAGATGGATGAACCATAGGCAAGCTGTCATAAAGCAAATTCTTTTACTTCACCTATACTCTATCCACTTAAAATGTGGTAGACATATACAGAGTTGCATAAACAGCTTGAAGACAAAAGCCACACATTAAAGGTGGAGAATAAAGCAGAAGCAGAAACTTGGTTTTATTATGTTGTAGTTGAACCAACTGAACCACTTTGAAATAACATTGGACTCTGATTCCTAAGAAAAAGCATAGCCATGGACTATTCTACAGATTGCAAAGCCATATAAAGAAAAACACTATTGTTGTTAGTATAACCATGCACTTCTTAATGTTGTTGTTGATTATTTCACTTTTTAAAATATACAATAATATACTTTCTTTCTTTACATTTAGACCCCTACAGTTCTATATATATATAAACATATTTTTATAATTTGGAAACTCATTTTCCAGATGAAAGCTTATCAAAACTCCTTTTATTATTTATGCTACAACACTGATTTTTTTTACCTATAACTTCATTCTGAAAGATCTTTGCTTATAACATTCCTTTTCTGAAAATTAAGACTTTTGCACCTTGATTCTGAGAAATTTTGTACAAACACATAGCATTAAAATCTCACTGCACTGTAGCAAACATCAGGTTGTACAGCCTATAGTTGGCAAAAATACTCTACATTCCATAGATTTTGGAAAATTGTATCTCCATTTTTATTGCCTCAAGGCATTTTAAAAATTTCCTCTTTAGTTTCTTTGCTGATCCATTAATTGTTCAATAGAATGTTGTTTAATCTTCACATGTTCATGTTTTTTTCAGTTTTGTTTTCATAATTATTTCTAGTTTCATAGTGTTGTGGTCAGAAAAGATGTTTGATATGATTTTAATCCTCTTAAATTTACTGAGACTTGTTTTGTGGCCTAACATGTAAACTACTATACAGTTTTTAGGTAAACTATTTTGTATATATTTATTAAGACAATCTGGTTAATATATAACTTAAAGTCAATATTTTCTTATTGATCTTTTCTTTGGATGATTAATTGATTGATATAAGTGGGGTATTAATGTTCCCTACTATTATTGCTTCCCTAGTGGCTAAAGAATAAGAATTCACATGAAAAAAGCCCACCAAGTCAAACAAAAGAGGAGGAAATAGGGAATCTACCTGAAAAAGAATTTAGAATAATGATAATAAAAATGATCCAAAATCTTGAAAACAAAATGGAGTTACAAATAAATAGCCTGGAGACAAAGATTGAG